ATCACTACAGAAGTAGGATTGCCCAACCTTCCTTCTGAGGAGTGGCTGGTGGGTTTGAACTGCCAGCCTTCTGGTTAGCAGTCAGGTGCCTTAGGCACTATGCTTAGGACAAGGCATATGTGCATGTGGTTTGGCTTCTCTGTGATGTCTATGGCGGCAGCTATGAAGACTTGGTGTCTGGGAATAGAATCATTTATTTAGAGCAGGTGTCAGAAAAGTAGGATCTGAGGGCCAACTCCTGTCATACAAAAGTTTTTATAAATGAAGTTTTATAAACACTCATTTATCTATTGTTTATGACTGCTTTGGTGCTGTAACAACAGTGTTGAATAGTTGCAACAGAGACTTTAGGGCTACGAAGCTTAAAATACTATCTACCCTTTACTGAAAATATTTGCTAACCTCTCATCTAGAGGCATCTTCACTCATTGATCTGGCAGCTGATGTTGGTCCTTGGTTGACCAGAGCACCTCCATGTGGCCTCTTCATGTGACCTAAGCTTTCTCACAGCATGGCAGTCTTGGGACAAGCCAATGCAAATTAAAGGGAGGAGAACATATTATCTTCATGAGAAAAGTGTCAGAGATTTTATGACTATATTTTGTAAACTGCCACAGACTTTATATTATTACCTGAACTTCAATGTATGATTTTTCTACCAATCAAACCTCTCTTCAGATTTTTCACTTTTATTCAAAGAACTATCATAATTTCAGTCTTTGGCTTGTTTTATTTTTCCCTCCAAATCCAATCACTACCACAATATCTTTTTTTCCTCATCTTTTGTAGGTCACTTTTATTCTCACTACTATCACCAGACCTACCTTATCCTTACTCTTGAACTACTGTAGTATTACCCAAGGTGCACTCTCTTCTCACTATCCATAATGTACTATAATGCATAATAGTATGTATATACATTTTAATATGTAGATATTTTTAAGTTCTCAAGGTGTTTATTACGCAAACAAAGTTAAACAATTGTGTTAAGAATTCCCAAACCACCTCCACTCACAGGACTCATCATGTAGTTGTACTTATGGCTAAGGTTTATTACAGTGAAAGGAAGTACAATATTATTAGCAAGGGAAAAAGACAAAGTCTAGAGAAATCATGAGCAGACTTTCTTATGTTCTTTTCCTCCTATGAGGAAATCATTAATCATGCTCCTTTCTCTAGCAGTGAAAAATGCAGTAACATGTGCATTGTTTCTCTCCAGGGAAGACCATTAGAGACTCACGGACCAAGATAGTTTATTGAGGGCTGATCATGGAGGTAGTCTCTGGGTGGTAAAAACAATTAACCTACTCAGCTGTTAACCTTTGGTCCACAGATGCCTTGGAAGAAATGCCTGGCACTCACAAAATCATCTATTGAAAACCCTATGGAGCACAGTTCTACTCTGACACGAATGGGGTCACTGTGAGTCATAGTCTACTCGATGACAACTGGTTTTCTGGTCATGTAGGCATCTTCTGACTACCAAAACTATAAACTTCTGGAAGGAAAACTGCTCTTTAGTATAAACCTCATTGTTTGCACAAACAGACTAGCCAGAGTAAATCACCCTTATCCGTTAGAGAAAGGTGGGAACTCTCTCTAGAATTTAAGTTTCCAGCCTCTAGCCAAGGGACAACTCTGCAAGCAGACACTTCTAAAAATAACAGTCTGAGGCCTGCTATATTAACTCTTCTGCACAAACTATTTCCCTGAACATTCCTGACATGATCTCTGCTGAACTAATTTCCTATCTGGTCTCTCCTCCCATCTCTGACTTAATCCCGTACTCTTGGGACCCAGTTCAAGAGTACCCTTGCATCCCTACTCCACTCTTTATAATGATCTTATAAGTTTGTAAGATCATTATTCACTGAACTCCTTTGATACTCATTCTACCTACCACTTATCTGACCCTTAGCTTATAGTATCTTATATTTTCATATCCGTATGGCCTTACATGCTATAGTATAAGCTCTTTGATGTTAAATACTCTTCTGTGTGCCCCATAATACCCCTGATCATAGCATGCATCTCAGTGTCTTATGGTGTCTGTAACTTTTGCTTCTTGAGAACTGGGCCCATACGGAGTACAGAGCCTAGCAGTCTGTCTCCCATTGTTGTTGTGCGTTGTCAAGTCAATTCACGACTCTATTATAGACAGTAGAACTGCCCCATAGGCTGTAACCTTTAAGGGACTAGATTACCAGGTCTTTTCTCCTACAGAGTGACTGGAGAGTTTGAACCACTGACCTTTTAGTTAGCAACTGAGTGCTTAACTATTGCACCACCAGTGCTCCTTGCCTCTGTTATAGTAGGCACAAATTAAAAGTTTACAGGAATTAAATCTCTTTGTATCCCCTACCTGATCCAAGCAGAATGTCTTAATAAATATGATTGCTAAAAAACTCAAAAGTTATTTACATCATGATAAATCATTAAAATTCTTTTCAATTAGAGTTTTTCCCCTTTAATAATCTATTGTTTATATTTTAGTTACTAACAGGAACGTAATAAACCAGACTCATTGCTGTTGAGTTGATTCTGACTCGTAATGAGTCTGAATTTGGACTGGCTCCTTGGGTTTCTGAGGCAGTATCTCTACGGAAGTAGATTGCCTAGTCTTCCTTCCAAGGAGTGGCTGGTGGGTTTGAACCACCAGCCTTCTGGTTAGTAGTCAAATGCCTTAGGCACTAGACCACCAAAGTTCTTAGTAATGTAATACAAGTGCTAAATTTGGTTATCTAAATTTCATTATGATCTTGCTGGATCTTCCCTTTGTCTGGCAGAATGCAGACTCATCTGAGCGTATCATTGCTCCTATGCGATGGGGTTTGGTCCCATCTTGGTTCAAAGAAAATGATCCTTCCAAGCTGCAGTTCAACACTACCAACTGTCGTAGTGATACCATGATGGAGAAACAGTCGTTTAAGGTAGGTACCTAGTCTAGGGAAAAGGCACATGTTCTGATCTTACTTCTAACAGAGCTGTTAGTGATTGCCCTTTATACCTGAGAAATAAAATAAGGTTCTCTTTGGAACCCCCTTAGGTTGACAGAAAGGAGACTTGATGGCACAGTGGTTAAGCACTTGGCTGCTAACCGAAAGGTCAGCGGTTTGAACCTACCAGCTGCTCTGCACTAAAAGAAGTAGCAGTCTGCATCTTTAAGGATTACAGCTTTGGAAACCCTATGAGGCCATTCTTTGTCCTGTAGGGTTGCTATGATTGCAGTCAACTGGACAGCAATTAGTTTAAAGTTACAAAGAATGTTCCCAGTTATTAATGTTGAGTGGTGCTCCATTTATTGCTATGTAACAAGTCAGACCAAAACTTAATGGTTTAAAACAAAAATTTACTATTATCTCTCATATTCTGTGGGCTTAACTGGGTATTTTTTACTTGGGATTTCTCATGCAGTTGTAATCAGATGGAAACTAGGACTGAATGTCCAAGATGGCTTTTTGCCCACAGTCTGAGACCTCAGCAAGGATGGCTACAACAACTGGAAACCTTTCCACATGCTTAGCTTGGCAGTGTCAGGGTAGTTGTGCTACTTCCATGGCTTACCATCTAAGAAAGCAGGGCAGAAGCTTTAAAGCTATGTGATCTAGCTTGAAAGTCACAGGAATCATTTCTGCTGCAATCTGTTGGTTATACAGAGCTAGCCCAAATTCAGTTTGAGCAGGAACTACATAGACTGTGAATATGGGGAACCATGGTTCATGAGGGGCTGACTTAGCAGACTAATTACCATGCCTACCTGGAAAAAAAAAAAAAAAACAACCTACTGCTATTGACTTGATTCTGACTTATATTGACCCTTTAAGACAGAGTACAACTGCCCTATAGGGTTTCCAAGGCTGTAAATCTTTAAGAAAGCAGACTGCTAGATGGCAGACTAGACAGAAAGACTGCACAGACCCTCTTCAACAAAGAAAAGGGAAACCAATTAACACAGACCCAGAAGATAATCTTAGACCCCTGAACCTTGAAGGGGAGAATATAGAAGTGAACTAAACCCCAACTAGCAGGATAATTTGCATGAAAATACCAAAAAAAGGAGACATAATAGAGCTACAGTCTGGCAGCAATCCTGACGGCACAGACAGCTTAGAGATTCCCGAATGGTGGTAGGACCTAAGAATTAACCTAAAAATCAGACCTGCTAGTCAGGAACTGCACAAAGGACTGCTCTGGTGGCTGGGGAATAAACAGAGAAGGCGAAGAGAAAAGTGGGCGGAGCTGAGGACTTTTGCCAGTCCGACGGCGCCACCATTTTGAAAGTTTAAAAGCAGCTTGACAATTTAAGTATTTAAAGAGGCCGTGCGCTCTTAGATTCCTGGTGCTTAAGGACACATTATGCTTTCCAGCAACCCCAAGGTCACTCTGGATCTGCAAGACTGAAAAGGTACCACATTCCTCTTGTTACTGTTATATCCCACACCCGCTTAGTGAACGGAGGTGCGGCCATCACCCACTCCCACCTACCTTCTGGGAACACAGGAACTCCATCACAGTCTGTGTGCTCCGACGGAGCCTGGGTGCCCTGCCCTGTCCTCCACCGATTTTTTTTTTTTTTTCACTTTATTTTTTTCTTTTTTGCTTTCTTTTTTCTGGTGATTAGTTTACTTGTATTTGTCTGTTTTAAAACAACTATTATTATTAATACTTTTGTCCTTTTTGTTATTATTTTTAATCTTCCCCTCCCA